CAAGATGGTGGGAGAACGAGGGTGGGGGGGGGGGGGGGGGGGGGGGGGGGGGGGGGGGGGGGGGCTTGGGTAAATGCCTACTAGTGATAAGCCCCTGAATGAATGAAGTAGAATTTTCCCCAACGGATCTCGAAGGCCCCGTTTGTACCGAGGGAGGACAAGCCTACTGGAATGTAAAGGTTACCCCCTAGAAGAGTCAAAAGATAGTGGTGATACACGAGGTGGGCTTATACGAGGACTATCCCTCCTTGACGATTTGAATCCAGCGCGAGCGCTAGTCATGTAAAACAACCAAAATAGAAGAAAATTGAGGTATTTTACACGTGAACACGAATAAAAATAAATCTGTTTTGGGGTTGGTTGACCTCTTTTGACAAGATATCCCACGACAACAATATTTCAAACTACAAGGGTGCTCGCGTGATTGACATTGAAGGGAAGATTAGGGCCGCGCGGCAGGCTGGTACTCAGCTCGATTATCAAATAATAGTGCAGGGTGCGGGTCAGTTGACTGTTGACTGAAAAGGTGGATAGCACTATCCAGTCGATAAAACCCTGTCCCGTGGATAATACGATTGGTTTTCCCCTTATCACCTAGATAGTGATTTATTCAGCGGAAGGTACTCGCCACCCTTTCAACAACCGCGTGGCAAGACAAACGTTTCTTCACATCGCAAATTATCTAAATTATCGAACTAGCTCGTCAGATGGCTTACTAGCATAAAAATAGTCCTCCTAGTCAAATATCAGTAAGTCAAAAACAAAATACACCATGGGATTTAAACCCCCACACCCAATTCTCAGTTTAATTCGTTCATAAAAAATGAACCCTAAATGATACTATTCACAAGGACATCATCGACTTTAGACCAAATTATAATGTCTAAATTTCTTGGTTTTGATATCAAAATACTGCGTAAGTGACGGTCGAATTTTTCTTGTCTTATTCGAACACCTTTCGCAAGGAATATTTGAATGACTAATTGCGCGCTTGGTGACTGGGTAAGACTATGACATCACTACAGGAATTATCCCAAGCAAAGCTTCAAGGTCTCAGCCAACCTCGTTGACAGGGTCCTCCCGTCCCTACAGAGCGAGAGAGGGACGGTTAGGACAGAACCCTGGGAACGAGGTTTGTTGTCTGATATTACGCCATTGAAGGTTGACAAAACAACAACAACAGCAAAAACAAAAATAAAATGTGCGAAATCCCTTTCAAAGACAATTTTTCAAGTAACACGCTGAAACTTTGCGTTGGGTAAGGCCTGAAGTGAAGTCATTAGACCCAACCCCGAGCGCGCGGTCAGCCCCGCAGGGCTGGGATGTGGGTCATAGGCAACTTACGAGCAAAGATTTTGGCGATAACGCGTCCGATAATGACTAAAAAAGATAACGCGTCCGACAATGACTAAAAAACTCAAGCGCTTTATAAAAGATAACAAAAGAATAGTGGGATATACAATGGAATCTGTATCACGTGAAAACAAAACGAATAAACCTTCAATCCTGGCCAAAAGGTTTTGGGACACCTCCCCTTTTTCACGTGTTTTTCTGTGGAATGTACAGCTAACCTGTGATACACACACATAAACACGGCCTTAACAAGATTCCCCCCCCCCCTCCTGAACAAAGTTGAGGTTCTTAGCGTATGCAAAATATGTAAAAAGTGTTTGACTTGTAACAACCAACACTGTTCGGGGAGGGGGGGGGGGGGGGGGGCAACTTG